AAGTATAAAATTGTAATGTTTAACTTTATATGTCTTCAACTCAACTACCTAACGATTATTGGTAACCGAAATAACCATCTTTACCTTTTAACTAAATCAATATTATTTTGTCCTAACGAAGTTATTATAAAGGATTAACGTGTCTGGTAAGACTTTTACCATTGAGTATGTATTGTACAATACACTATATACTCAATGATTTTACTAAGAAGAAAAAGTCTTATGATTATTTAGCTTCCAAATAATAAATAAATATATATTATATATATAAATTGTTCAAAATACATTTCCATTTAATCACAAATCTAATCTTTAAAGATTTGTTTTGCTCATTTCAATTAATGAATGGATATAATTAAAAAACAGAAAAGCTCCTTCGAGTTTAACCCCTGATAAAATAAACGCGTTGATGGGTTTTGTGTACAGGAGGTATAAAATTAATCTGAAAAACTTTTAAACGTTAATAAGGGTTGTAGCTTTAGTGATTATAAATGTATACATTATACTCACATACGCACAAGCGTACATATTACAGGGTTGTATAAAAAAAAAGTGTATAATTTATATTTATAAAAAAAGTTGTTCAATTAAAACGGTGACAACAGTTGTGGAAAGGCTTGCTATAATTTATTAATCACATGGATTTTCGTATAAAATATTCTGAATTCAGTGGTCACACGTGATTTTACTTGTCGCCAATAATGTTAAAAATGTAACACCTATTTTCGGTTGAAATGAAGCATCCCTTTTTTTTTTTTTTACAATGTTATCATTTATTTGATCAAGGTACAATGTGTGTAAAGCACAATAAAAGAAAAACCTAGAATAAAAACGCCTATAGAACAATACTGATGCTTTTGATCATTGGTTGATTGAATTCAAAATAAACATATTATAAGGTTTTAAAATAAAAAAATCATAAACAGTTCTAAACCCAGTCCTACGTTCGAATTAATAAAAAAAATGAAATTTTTTTTTTTAAGTGTACAAATACGTTGTTTATATATTATAATAAAACCGCGATTTCCATAACCTTAGAGGTAATTTTCAATGTAGATAAATGTAGGCATGAAAAGGCTGTGTCCATATTTAAATTCAGTGAAAAAAAAACAGTTCAATTAAATGCACCAGTTATACTCAAATTTCCGGTTCAAAGCCTGTGAAACTTTCATTAGGTACAATATGAATCGCATTATCGTTATCGACTTTAATTAGTGTAAAAAAAATAGAAAAATTGGTTTCTAGAAAAAAAAAAATAATAAAAATTTAGTTCGGTCAAATAATAAAACGTTTCGAATAAAATGAAGCTTTGCAAGTATGTGAGAAAATGTTAAATTATTTATAAGATATCTAAGCATAGAAGCGGAGGCATCTTGAAAACGTAGATGACAATGTTTTATTTTGTATATTTTGTTTTATTTTTTATTCACTCTATTATGTATTATTTGACGTGGAGCAGACCGCAGTGGAGGAGGTGTGTTGGGGTTTAGTTATTTTTCACATTATAATATTATTTTTTTCAATTTAATTTTCCCGTTCTAGCTTCTGCTGTGGTGACGTTTGAAAACCCTATGAAATATACATAAATGAATATTAAACCGTTCCAGTTGATGATATGAAATTAGCAAAAACCTATTTTTCTTCGAAGGTATTAAAGCATATTAAATTATTTTATACCGTACGAAGATCCGCTTGACGTTGGTCACAGACTTTAGCGCAATAGTGATTCACGACTGGTCTCAGAATTCGTAGGGTTTTTTTAATAAAAATAAAAAAAATGAAAATAAGATAATTCTGGAAAAATCCTATAAAATGTTTACATTATGCATTGGGCTTTGTTTCAAAATATATTAGGCGAAATTTCGTTGTACAACACAATCAATCAAGCACAAACTATATTTTCTCTAAACAATAATGTCTAATAAAATATGTCTTGTAGACGTATACCTCATTTAGTGGAAGTTTAGAGTAATACGTTAAGTATTTTTTTTTTTTTTAAATATGAGTTTTCAACAAAACAAAAAACTAGGATAAGAAACATTTTTTTCGGATAAATTAAGGAGTGTAAAAATATTTCTAGTTTAAAATTATTATTTCTGGATAAAGTACTTTTTGGGAAAATTACATGAGTTAAAAAAATGGGAAATATTAAAGGAAATAATTTAATAATTTATAGTGATATTATGTTTATATAATAGTGATAAGGATATTGAATGATAAGAGAAACTAACTGATAAGAGATAAGAGAGTATTTTAGATGCTTAGTGGAAGTTATTATTGTTACTTTTTTATAGAATGCTTGAGAGATATTTTAAAGAAATTAACTTACTTTTCTATTATATCCGCTTTTTTGGTAGACATTTGAGTATATTTCAAAGTGTATCTTAATCATATCAACTATTTAGTTATGTTTATCGGTTCGCTTTTAACAGCCCACCACTGTGAGTGAATTTCCACTTGAAAACACAATGTTTGCAAAACGGAAAATAAAATAAAAATGATTAATTACTAAGTAAAAACATCTAAAGTCACGTTTTCGTTTACTTTGATAAAGAAATAATAATAATAATATGGAAACATTAAATGAAACTATTTAGGACTCGTCCAAACGAGTTGGTATTTTGCTTTGGTGTAATTTATTTTGATGGAAATTTATGTATTTTAAATTGTACTCCAAGTTTATGACGAATGATTATAATACTGTTGAAAAGTCGACGGCAAACGTTTCCTGGAATTCTGTAAAACGCACAATAACAAGATTTTGATATGTTTAACAACACGGACGAATAATTTGGACTACCAAATTCTTGGTCTATGTACGTTTAAAGACAAATAAGATTGTGTTTCTCATTACTTTTGTTTTATTGCTTGCTTTGCTTATAACGCCGCCGCATAAACTAATAAATGCAAAAATTACAAAAAAAAATTTGATAGTTAGCTAATGAGGTCACTCAAAGAAATCAGCATATTTATTAATCTATCGTTTTTGGACAAAACTAATCTGATTGACCTGATCTGGTTGGCCAAAGTAACACTCATCCGATGCGAAGGTTAAAATGTTAAAACTTAGCGGTTTCTTCGAATAACAAATGAATAATGTATTTTAAAAACGTGCATAGGGAGAGACTTTTTTTTTTGAAAATATTTCTAAAGATTATGCAAGTTTAAACTAGCATTGATACACAACTGATTAAAGGTTTATCGTCAAAGACAATCGATGCTTATTCAAGCAAATGTTGGTTTACTCAATGTTTAAATTACTATACTCAATGCCACAAGCTAAGAAAAATCTTCTATTGTATTTTAATTAAACTGTATTGGAATAATTTATTTGGAATAAAAATATTAAAACAATTCAAACTCAAAATAAGAAGGGGAAAACGGAAAATAATAAAAGGATTTGAAAAATTAATTAAAACCGTTTTTTTACCATTTGTAAAAACAAAACAATAATTATAACGGCATTGATTCGCACTTGGAGACATTCAATTTGAGACCTACGTGGATAATTAATCCTACGTACTTGGGCATTTAATTACTTCCAGCTAGACTTCAAAATCGTGTGCAGGTAGGTCGTAAAGTAATTAAACATACAGTTGGGTTAGGCTAATTTGGTTGCAGTCCTGAAATAAAGGTATCACGTTGTTATTGGGACGTATTTTCATGAACGAAAGGAAGAACAGTTTGAAATATTTTATGAGGAAAACCCAAAATGCAAAATCTAATATTAAGTTTACACATTGGGGAATTTTTTGAATTTTAGTTCAACCATACGCACTTTTTATCATGAAATGTAATTAGGCTAAGAGTAAATAAAAACGTTTACAGGTTGTTTAAGTGTGGAAATTTAACATATCAAACACTTTGAGAGCAAAAAGCTAAAAACGCTTAAGCATGAATAGATTTTTAGCTTTGTAAAAAATTCACTTCTTATCTGTTATTTATAAACACTAATCTCTTAACAGTAATTCCTTATTAGTGTTCTCTTATCAATAGCCCCTTATCACAAATCTCGTTTCGCTGAATATGTATTATCGCTGTTCTCTTGTTAATAATCCCTTATCATTAATTGGGTATACCGTAGCTTTTATATTTTTGTTTTGATAAAGTTAATGTAATGTTTTCCTCGACGTCACGAAAATGCTAATAAAAATCACCAAATACGATATGGTGTATTCACAAGGAAACCGGCAGTAATGCAGTATATAGTATACAATATTATATATTTTATTTAACATACAAAATAAATACTATTATCCAACATTAATTTCTAATAAATGTTTAAAACTATAAATTTACATATATATTATTTTTAATACCTATTTAAAAGTTATTATTATATACTAGGTGTAATCATACAAAATGTATTATTTACAATGGATTTTAAACAATAGTAAAATAAGTGCTCAAATATATAGATATAAGTATAACTAACATGTTTTACTAATAGTCATAAGATTCATTAACGATAGTATTATTAATTTAAGTAATAAAAAAATGTAATAGTTTTAATTATCGAAAAACCACCGCAATAGCTAGCAAAAGTCACACTTCTTATAAACGTGTAAGAAAAAAAAGTTTGTTAGTAACATCACATAACTTATCTGTGTATTTTTGTTTCCCTACTGTTTAACCAAACAGCCAAATGATGTAATAGCTAATATTACTTATTAGCAATTAATATTTGAGCAGTACATTATAATATTGTGTAGCTATTTAATCAATAAAAAAAGATTATATTGTCAATTCATAGGCAAGTGAAAATAAAGCATCATTAATGGCCGTTCTTACCAGTTTGGCTAATAGTATGTTAATTATTGTTTAAGGAAAATAGTCACATTATTTTTGATGATTATTTTTTCAATACATATTTTATACCTACAACAGAATAAAAAGCCACTAATTTGTATACGAATTTTTTATTTTGGAAAAAAGTACCACTATATACAATAATTGTTATTAATAAGAAATTGAATAAAGTATTTTTTAAAACCCTATTAAAACTCTAAATTTCTCTAGAAGTTATTTTAGTTTGTTTTTATAAAACCTCGTTGGACATTTTGTATTTTATGTAGATTTTTATTTTATCGACAAGTTTAAAGTGGTAAATTTTATCAGATTTAATGAATATGTACACTTAACTACTGAGTAGGTATTCAAGTGTTTAATTTGTGCGATTAAAGTTAAAAATGATAACCGAAACTATGGTGGGTGATATTTTTCTATAAATTACTTTTTTTTCTTTCTGACATTGGCTCTATGGGACAACGGGACGTCTATCCGGAGCTTTTCCCATCGGGTGGCTGGGAAAGGTCGCATGTTTTGGTGTCCATTTCAGAAAATGAATGCAATTTTTATTATTTTTGGGAACATTAGGTCGGGCGTTCAAACCCGGAACTCGTCCGTGATTTATTTGGTATTGATATCGTTTAGGTGTTCTTTAGGTTACTCTATTAACAGCCGGGTGGAATCAAAACTAATCACAGTATAATAATATCATCCACTGTGATGTATGTAGATATATGTACTGCTAACAAGCTCTGACCAGAAGGCTGGGTCCGGGTGCCAATTGATTGCCAATGATGGACGACGATTGAGGATCCGATGTGAACGTTGCCATGCTAATGGTCACCGAACTGCTGGTTGTCGGTCGCGATAACATGGGCTTTCGGTCTGGCCTTTGTCCAGTGTACAGTTGCTGTCAGTCAGGGTCGTGGTGACAGTCCAGCCAAACAATGGCACCGACCGCGATTAACACCAACGAAGACAATGTCAAATGGAGCACGGCAAGCCAAAACATGGTGGGGTTCGAACTGCGAATCAAAATACAAAAAAAAAAAAATACAACACTTTGAAAATTATTTTTTTTTTTACAAAAATACGTCTTATGGCTAAAACCGTGGCGAAAATTACTTGATGATTTCGCGATACAAAGAAGAGAGAGCTAGGGAATGGTAGGAGAAAGAAATCAGTTTATCGTAAGACATACTCAATATTTAATGTTTTTTTTTTCAAGGAAAAGTAAAAAATCGTTCAAGTTCACTTTTTTTGTTAAGAACAAGTACCATAAAGTTGTAGAAAAAATGGGAAATCGTTGTGATAGTAAGATAACTACTTGTAGATTAGCTGTTGATGTCTCGGCGTCAACGTTTAATAATAAAATGTAGATAATGATAAGCGAACGCCGAGCAAATTGAGTTTGCCTGAAATGAAGTCTTAATCGTTTTAAACTTAACGATGACGCTTGCGAAATGCAAATAATTATGCAATGTTAGGTAATGTTGTATTCATAACGCCTTAAAGTCAACTCGACAAATTTTCGTCGAGTGTCTGTAGATATTTTTTTATAAAAACGAACCTCTTTACAAAAAATTTCATACCATATTATGTTTAATTGTAAAAAACGTTTTCGCGACTCTTCTTAAAAACACTATAATAAAGTGTTAGCTAGAATTTAGTTTTAAGAATTACATCTAACCTAGGTTAGGTTAGATGTGAACTGATCTTCCTCCCTCCCCCTCTCATAAATAATATTCAAGTGAGTATGGTATCCAGGAACTATACTTTATTGCTATACTTTTATCTTAAATATTTTTCGTCCATTTCTCCTTATCAATAAATCATATTATCTGTTATCAGATGATTTCAGCAACACATTCGGGACCTTTCTTTTGTTTATTCCCAACCTAAAATCATTGAAACATATTTAACGAATAGTAAAGGGAAAGAACGTTAATGTAGATCAGATCAAAGTCAGTCGAGATGCTAATAGACTATTTAACCGTGTCGAGTAGCGAAGAATTTTATTAGACGGACTTGCATACCGTCTCTTTCCAATAAAATAAAACTATAAGTAAAAAAAGAAACCAGTGGTACCCGAGAAATAATAAACCGTCTTTAAATTTATTACTATTGGTTTTTTATAGGAAGTAATAGAGATTATGGGGCTGTAAAAAACGACCATCGCTGTGAACAAACCAGTAGGTATAACAATTTTTTATTGTGAAGTGTTATAAAAACAAATTGAGAAATTGTAGCTAAATTTTTGTATCATTAAAAACAATTGTTTTTTCTTTTACTAGAATATAATTAACATATCCAGTTGAACGTAATCGTAACACAATTTATCTAACACAATTTTGATTGAAACTAAAAACACCATTTTATAACTATACTAAAAATAATATTAATATTCTGATTATAGATTTTCAGGTTATGCCGTGTTAATATTAGGCTGATGCATAATTTAATAGGCCCTTACAGACAAATGTCAACTTCAAAATACAAATGTATAATTCTATAAATTATAAGGCATATTTAAAATGTATCCTAGATGCGCCTTGATAGTTGTTATCTCCTTTGTCCCACATTTAACATGCATCAAACATAAATCCATCAAGCAACATAATACATTCAAGCAGGTTGATCTAATCATTTCTATTGTTTTGTTTTACATTTTTTGTCGGCCATATTGCAGTCTATCAGTATATATATTTTTTTTTATTAGCCTTTATTGGGAAATATGATGGCTCTATCAGTATATTATAGCAATGTTCAACTTTTTTTTAGTCTGTTTTCTCATAAAATATACACAACCAAAAACATTATTTTTCAAGGGAAATTTTATGTGGTTTTCGTTATGAAATATGTAAAAAAAAAAGTTAGTTCTATTTGAGCTCACAATAAAAATCTAAGAATTACTTTATTAGCTTCCATTAATTAACGTGTAAGACTTACACGGCTTTCTATTAGTTATGAATAATAATTCATAAATGCATTGTAATGATTTTGTGTTTTATATTAACTATAATATATTAATGTCATTATTATAATGTCTTAAAATACATGCGAAATATAATTTATGCAATTATATATTTTTTTTTTGTGGTCGACATTTGTCTAGAACGGCCCATTAATTTATGCATCAGCTTAATGTTACAACAAATAACGAATATATTATACAACATAAACAATATAAAACAAAAGTAAAATATAAACGCTTATAATAACATATTATCCTAAAAATAAAAGTAAAAAATTGGACATTTTAACTTTTGTAGGCGAAGATTTGAGCTCTAAAAAACTAACAGAAACAAATTGAACCTTATCCTAACCAAACCTAACCTCACTTGTTTTTGTAACGTAAAGGTTTGTTTATTTTCTCAACACACACAAATCATTAAGGAATAAAATAAACCCCGTCCTAAAAAGGTCACTATTTAAAAGAATATAAATTTTCTTAAGATAATTTCAAAGATTATTAAATTTTGAAATGTGTCAAATCATATACTTGTGATTTATTGCAATATTCGCTTTCGTTAATGAATACATTGGAAAGCGAATAGTCATTAAACTTTAAGCACAAAATATAATACATTATTTTAATTGCTGTTCAGTTGAATGTTACACCATGTACTGATTATAAACGCTCATAAATCCCATCTAAAATAATTTATCATAACTCATACACGGCAAGACTTACATAATATTCTACTAGTAAAATCTTAATTAATGGTGATTTTCCAGAGTGTATAGAAAATGTGAAATTTACACTAAACGACTCCACTTAACCATAATAATATAATTAACGACGATGTGATCGAAATAACGTACTTGTAAAATGTCTGATGAAAAAAATGTAAAATTTACTGTTTGAACAGTCTTAGACGTTTAAGAGAGTAACGCAGAGATAACCTTATCTTCGTGACGTAGGCTGTTTTGAAGTTATTCACAAAAAACATAAACCATACCAAACTTGAACTTTTCATGGAAATAAATTATTTTGCCACCTCAATCATAATATATTTGTTTATATTTTACAGTAAGATTCACCGTGTGGCTTAATTTTCCTTTAAATTTATGGATTTCCCGAAGTCAGAAGAAGTCCCGAAGAAGATACATAATCAGCATTGAATTATTTGTAAGCTCACTGAAAATAACCAGACTGTATTATTAGATATATTGTTCGCTGCAAAATAATTATTGACTTTGTTGCATTTTGTGTGTGAGACCAAAACTATTAAAATATCGTTGTCTTATATTTATTGTTTAAACACTGGCATAATATAGTGTATTTACTTTTACTGATTTTTAATGCGCTCGTTATAGATTCTGACATACTTAAAACATATTTTCTTAGGTAATTCTTATCGAAACCGGACAAAGAGCAAAGAATTGCTTAGAAATACTATCCGGTCAGGTTGTAGTCTAATTTTAAGTTTTCTCATCAGCTGCTACTTGACTCTGTTCTTAGTTGAAACTTTATTATGTACAAGACACGAGTTGAATTTTGTATACATTTAATAATTCTTTGAAGTCTCGGGATATGATTATTTTGATGTTTATTTGACTTTGGTAAACGCGATAATGTCACCTTTTCTTTTAAAATTGTCTACTACCATAGCAACATTCTTTCTCAGACTTTTCTTTTGAATTATGGTTTTCTTTACAAATCTCAGCTAAAATGTACCGATCTAAAACTGTTTGCAGACCTCAATATTAAGAAATTGATAAAAAAAAAATGTAAAATCGTGTAAACCAAGGACTAAAATGACCAAGAATAATTTATCGAGCAAAGTATATTACAAATATCTCAATTGGAGATGTTTATCCTCCGAATCAACTATAGCAACGACCGGATGACTGCACGTTTTTTATTGAACCATGAAATGGACAAATGAAGCGTTAGGGACGTAATGGGCAAAACAAAACAAACCTTGAATTTCGCTAATTTTTTTTTTTGTAAACGACGATTGTCAACGTTCGTGTGTACCTATTTGAAAAGTTGGAAGCAAACATCACATGTCCTACACACGAACAATAATAAACATGTTTGTTTTTTATTGATTGGATGTTCAAACTTTTAATTTTGTATTTTAACTGTTTTGATACATTTAAAATGTGTATTGGTGGACAACACTATCGACGAACAAAGGCATTGCACCAGAATAAATTTGTGACACACGCTTAAACATTGACATGATATCATAAAATTCATATTGTTTAGATATTAGATACTTTTAAGAGCAATATGAGACGATTTTAGTAAATAAATAGTGTTAAGTAGAGTACACACAATTATGTCTTCTTCTCTAGGGAGGTAGGTGATCATATTGGCTATTCTAACTTTACAATATAAACAAATTGTTTTAAAGATATTTGCACAGTTTTTGTTTGTGTGTAAATCACTTTCAGATGGGTGTTTAAACAAAAAACCTTAAAACAATATCTTTAATTTGTTATGTTACATCATACAATGCAATGTTTTTTCTCAATTTAAAATGTTTAACGTCAAATCACGATTTTTCTCTTCTCGGGAGAGTAGAAGCGGGTTCCCAACTCTCGTGCTATTTACCAATGTCGAATGAACAAACCTAAACACTTAAGTATAAAACAATGAAGAGCATTCTTGAAACGCTTTAGGAATTTCATATTATTTTACACTAATCCCCTTATGGTTGCGGCTCTTACTAGTATATTTTTATCTCTACAATCGTAAGGCGGACGGGGTTAAACTTTTGAAACGTTACATTTTTTTTTAATCATTTTCAAGTGTTTATTTTTCAATAACGTTTTTTTTAGAGGGTGCAAAAATATGTGGGAATTTATTTTTCGTTGTTACTTTGCCCACATAAATATGAGATACACAAATCAGAATTGCATTATGTTTCTCAAGAGGTCGCGCAGTACGATAGAAATTCATAGAATTATATTTATTTCAGCTCCTTGAATAAGCAGTGAGCTTATGTGTGGCAAGTCGGGCATCCACTTTAATACAACCAGAATATTAGACAACCGTGTTTCGCTGGAAACG